TCTGTCTCTTCTGTGCTCTTTCTGTCTTCTTGTGGGCCTTGGTGTCAAAAAACACTCGCATCTTAAGTTGATTTGCTTTGTTTCTGTCTCTTCTGTGCTCTTTCTGTCTTCTGGTGGGCCTTGGTGTCAAAAAACCGCTCATCTTAAGTTGATTTGCTTTGTTTCTGTCTCTTCTGTGCTCTTTCTGTCTTCTTGTGGGCCTTGGTGCCAAAAAACTACCATCTTTTTGTTTCTGTCTCTTCTGCGCTCTTTCTGTCTTCTTGTGGGCCTTGGTGTCAATAAACTGTCTCTTCTGTGCTCTTTCTGTCTTCTTGTGGGCCTTGGTGTCAAAAAACTCTCATCTTAAGTTGATTTGCTTTGCTTCTGTCTCTTCTGTGCTCTTTCTGTCTTCTTGTGGGCTTTGGTGTCAACAAACTCTCATCTTACGTTGATTTGCTTTGTTTCCGTCTCTTCTGTGCTCTTTCCGTCTTCTTGTGGGCCTTGGGGTAAAAAAACCTCTCATCTTAAGTTGATTTGCTTTGTTTCTGTCTCTTCTGTGCTCTTTCTGTCTTCTTGTGGGCCTTGGTGTCAAAAAACTCTCATCTTAAGTTGATTTGTATTGTTTCTGTCTCTTCTGTGCTCTTTCTGTCTTCTTGTGGGCCTTGGTGTCAAGAAAACTCTCACCTTAAGTTGATTTGCTTTATTTCTGCCTCTTCTGTGCTCTTTCTGTCTTCTTGTCGGCCTTGGTGTCAAAAAACTCTCTTGCTTTGTGTCTGTCTCTTCTGCGCTCTTTCTGTCTTCTTGTGGGCCTTGGTGTCAAAAAAACTCTCATCTTAAGTTGATTTGCTTTGTTTCTGTCTCTTCTGTGCTCTGTCTGTCTTCTTGTGGGCCTTGTCTCTTGTGTGGTCTTTCTGTCTTCTTGTGGGCCTTGGTGTCAAAAAACTCTCATCTTAAGTTGATTTGCTTTGTTTCTGTCTCTTCTGTGCTCTTTCTGTCTTCTTGTGGGCCGTGGTGTCAAAAAACGCTCATCTTAAGTTGATTTGCTTTAAGTTGATTTGCTTTTTTTTCCGTCTCTTCTGTGCTCTTTGTGCCTCCCATGCACCTCGTAGTGATGCAAGTGGTGCTGTGGAATGCCCCCGACTTTTTTAGCATTTTCTCTGTCATTTTTGTATCCGATGCCCTTGTGGAAAGTCGGGGCCCAGTTTGTCAAAAAACATTGCACTCATGATGCCAAAAAGTCTTATTTTTTGCTGTGTTTTTGTGTTTTACAATGTTTCGTTAACCTCAACATACTGCCTCAAGACACCCAAAAGTCTGCAAATCCAAATCTCGAACTTTCACCCCCCCCCCCCCCCCCCCTGCAAAACCTACCGGGGAGAAACTCAAAGCGATATTCATCGCTTTCCGTCATCCTTAACTTATAACGGTGCATATATACGTATGTGACTGTGCATCCTTCAATGACATGGGGTGCTCAATACATGATTGACTAATGGCTGAAAGCACTGCAAAGCAAACAAACAAATCCGGCATGAGTCATGATTGATCTATAGGCCAGGGCATGACTTTGTTGATCTCTGGGTGACTGTCTACCAAGGGGTCTTCATTTGGGGCCTAGCTGAAGTGCGCTCGACCTTTTCTCTTGGTGGCACTTGCGATGTCGCCACACTTCGGACAAACTGCTGCGGGAGAGGTGAGCAGCTTCACACATCTTGGTACCTCCATAAGTGACAACAAGTACACTATAGGTCTGCAGCATTTTCGTCCTCAATTGCCAGTGAAACAGTGATGACTTGACTACCTCATTTTCAGAGCGAGTGTCCTGAAGCGCTTTCACGCATGCATTGTCACCTTGATTGCCGAAGGGAGAAAGCTGGAGCAGC